ATGTCCCAGTTTGGTAGGAAGGGCTTGACAAGTCCGTCATCGACACTAGCTTCTTCACATTCGCTGAAAATCCAGTCGGGACTTTGAGCCCCCTCAGGAAAGTGCATATATCTTTCTTCTCTTTTAGAGTTAGGTTGAAGCACGCTGTGGGCAGAGTGTATTTTCCATTAGCCTCAGGTATCGGGTGAAGCTGTGGCATCACGTTTAGCTGCATCATGTCTTTCCATGATTTCAGACTATCCTTTGACTTGTCTTTATCCATCAAGGTAGCAATGAGACTCTCAAAGACATTCTTCTGCACATGCATGGCATCAGTGGCATAGGGGACCTCCAAGTCTGGCCAATAAGGCAGATACTTAAAGAAGATCGATTGTTTCTTGAAAGGTACGTCTTCGATAGGAGGTGTGCTTCTATCTCAGTTCGTCCCATCTAGATTCTTCTTTCCATAGACAACGCATATATTTTTCACCATTCTGTACACGTGTTCTCGGTTATGACATCTCTCCGGAGGGGGTTCAATCTACGGGGTGTTGTCATAAAATCTAAAGAACAATTTACTGTGGTACATGTGACTTGTCTTTAAGAATTGTCGGTTCTTTAGGTAAACTATCTCCTTGGATGCATCCAGAAACACCCATGTCGTACCATCCAAGCAAACTAAGCATCCCGTCTTCCCTTTGATCTGTCCAGACTTGGTTAAATATCCCACACTTTAATGTTGGTGGTGGCTGGCTACGATCATTGGATTCCAAAAGTACTCGCAACAGGACATGGATCTTATTTGCTTTCTGCAGTAACAATCATGATTTGTTGGGCTTATTTTCTAGATATCATACCGCTGGACGTCTTTTGGCCATCTACTGGCGTCCATTACACATTGTTTTTCATAAATTAGATCTTCTCCACGCTCCCACCACAAGGATTACTGGGGTGGGACTCCTCAAACACATCTACCATAGTCCTAATGAACTGGATGTTCACCGCCCCTCCTCTCAAACTCAAACTAGCTAGTACTGTTTACTGGAGCGATAAAATCGGGCAGTACTCAGTTCTCCAAGACTACGACCGTCGGCGCTCTCGCAAGAAGGCACTTGTAGCCTTGTTCCAGGGACAAACACTCTCCAACTGTTGAAACCGAATAAATTTAGCCCTCTAACTGATTTTAAAGGTGATTTTCTATTTGCAAAATAATAAAAATCAAGTTTGATCTCTAAAAAATTATAATTAATTTATTTTAAATAAAAAATACGAAACTAGTTTCTTCTTTTCTAAAACATTTATCTTTGTGTTGATACTCCATTTAGAGTTGTTTTGATCTTATTTGAGATAAATAAATAATGAGCACGACTACAAGCAATAAAAGCAATACAAACATAAATAAACTAGTTTCAAATACTTATATATAGATCATAAACTGGTAGAAAAAAAATTGACACTAGTTTCATGTTTCTTTGATTTAATATGAATTTTAAGAGAACAAACCATATTTTTATTATTTTTAATAATAGAAAACCACGTACTCCCTCCATCCAAAAATAAGAGCAATTTTAGGATGGAGGGGGAAAACTAATGCTACTATAAAATTATATATATACCCCTATCAAAAGGTATAGCAATATATAATAATTACACATTAAAAATAGAGAAAGTAGCAGAAAGTACTAGTTGTGGTTCATGGTTTAGAAGTGCACTTATTGTGGGATAAATTTTAAATGCTAGAAGTATACTTATTTTGAGACAAATGGAGTATGAAAGAAGCGAGATGGCCAAATTTATCTAGTTTCAACAGTTATAGTATGTCCGTTGTCTGATTTGGTAATTGAAGGTTCAAAATCAGACTGGCATGTTACGTGAAGGTAGGAAAATACTCTATCTGTCCAAAAATAAATTCTCATTTTTCGAGAAATCAAATAATTTAAAGTTTGACCAAAGTTAAAAAAATAATAACATTTATGATACAAAATAAATATCATTAAATTAATTATTATGGAATATATTTTCGTAGTAAATCTAGTTGGAGATATAAATGTTAATATTATTTACTATAAATTCAGTTAAACTTAAGTTACTTTATAAATGTTAATATTATTTATTATAAACTTAGTTAAATTTAAGCTACTTTGACTGGTACATCGCACATAGTTATATTATTTTTAAGAGGGAAGGAGTACATTTTACTCAATATTAAATAGCACTGCATTTCCTACGTGGACTGCGAACAAAGTAGATGTCGGCATATGGTGACCGTTGATGCCTACGTGTGGTGCATGCGCCAGCTAGTGCAACCTTTCCGGGCCTTGCATGTACGGTACGATGACCTTTCTCAGGTCATTTAAAAAATTTGAATTTGAATATATGAGGACTTCAAACTATTTTCTGGGACCGAGAGTCTAACCATAATATAACTCTTTAATTAGATACTTAATCTAATTAGCTAGTTAATGTTGCTATTTGTACTTTATTCTTTGTCTTTCCTCCATATTAATTTTTAATAGCATCTTATATAATTAAGAATTAGGTCTTTCTATTGTTTTATCTCCATCTCTTCTTTTTATTGTTGCCTAGTAAAGATCTTTGTCGCCACTAAGACACCCTCTAATTACCTAGTTAATTTTGATTAGTGCTTTGCTCCCTCAGAATTGGTCCAATGATATCTATATTATTTAGAGTAAGTCTTCATGTTATCTCCCTAATCTCCTTTATTCCTGTTATTATAATTATATTGATGGGTCTGATCAAAATAATTAATTGATGGGTGAAAGTTAAAGGTCTAGACCTAATTAATTTTGTTCTCTTTAATTTTCTCTGTAATATTCGGTGTTGTTTTTTAGTTTTCTTTTTGTACTGTCAAATTTTGCACTAACTGAATGTTACCGGTTTGAACGGCCTCCCTATATTTAAATCGTCCTCTATAGTTGTGACAGACAACAACGGACGAAGAAAATACAGATACAGATAGTGAGTGTTGCTAGTACAGATAGTTGTTACCGGTTATGTGTACAAATGTTTTTTTTGGTTATGTATACAATCGATTTATTTGTATTTCGTCGTACATAATTGTTAGCGGTTTGAACAGTCTTCCTATATGCAAATCTTGGCTCCGGCCGCCTCTAACAACAGGGCAGTGACGGACCGTGGAGAGAGTCCACCTATAGTTGTGACAGACAACGGCAGACGAAGAAAATACAGATACAGATAGCGAGTGTAGGCCAAGCACGTCTGGAGGAACGTGGTGCGAACCACACAACGCTTACTCGCTTAGCGATGACGAAAACCAGCAGTCTGTTCTTGTGGTTAGAAATGTACGCTAAAGATAAAAGAAGAGCAAACACGCGTGCAAGCCAATTAAGACGACCTAGCTTATTGCCCTTTTCTTTTCCATCTAGAAGAAGAAGAAAGACCTAGCCAGGTACCGCTGCTTGTAGTTGTCCTCCACTGCATCTGTGCAGCGACCCAGAGCAAATTAGCAACCCCTTCCTCTCCGATTCTTGCTGTCCTGTCCGATCCTCCCAATCTAGGTTCTCTACTGTCTATACAAAAAGTATTGAAGCCAAACTCTAAATTTCGACCGTCACTTTGACTCCAAATCTTACCGGATCTTCTCAACGCTACGATCCTTCTTCTGAGATGCTTCGGTTTGTAAACATCGTACGTGACAAATTGTGCGAAACATTCTCAATTTTTTTACCACAACCTCCATATATGATATCATCACATCATGACAAATCTCATGATTTTCAGACTTGGTTTGTTTTTTTTGAATTTAAAACCAATCGGCCACACGTTCGTGGCCGTGTTTTCTGACCAAGATGTTCGAAATTTCTTTTTATTTCCCGGGTAAGGCCTCACACTGCACTCAATAACATAAATATCATTTTTCTACTCATTTTATTTTATTATTTGAATCACTCGCGGTTCAAATTTGACTTATACAAAAAAATCCTAGAAATGCAATAAATTAATTAAATATAGCAAACAGATCCAGAAATATACCAAATTTTAACATGGAATACCACATGTTGTATGTGGAGAGTAGAAAATGTTTCAAGGTCAGAGGAGAAAAAAAAATTATTTGCCGAGTGCCACATGTTTACACTTGGCAAACATATTTATCTTTGTCGAGTGCCTCCCTTTGCCGAGTGTTTTTTGTCTCTTTTGCTGAGTGTATTTGTTTGTCGAGTTTTCCACTAACGGACACTCGGCAAACATACTAACGGACGACACACGTACTAACGGATGTGGACTTTGCCGAGTGCCTAGAGTGTTTTTTGGTTTGCCAAGTGCTAAACTTTGCCGAGTGTTTTTTTTGCCTCTTTTGCCAAGTGCAATTATTTTGATGAGTGTTTTTGTGACAGCACTCGGCAAATAGCTTATTTGCCGAGTGCCCGATAAAATACACTCGACAAATATTTTAGCACTCGGCAAACACCCAGTTTCCAGTAGTGGTTGTTACCATAAACATACACCTTAATTAAGTAAACAAAAAGACAGTACAGGAACCCTTGCTAACGACCATAGAAACAAACAGATGGAGAGGAGGCACCCAAGCCAAGCAATTAGCGTCCTGTCTCTCCGCGTAGACGGGGTGTAACGCAGAGGCCATCAGCGCGGCGCTTTTCCTTACGCGTCCAGAAAATCAATCAATCAATCAACTAGTACTGTGAACTCGCTCCGTCCGTTATGGGATGCGTACTTATCAAACTCTTTTAAGTTTAACTAGATTTATAAAAAATATTAACAGCATTTATATCTACACGGAAGATGCCTGACCGCTTCTACACGGAAGGTGACCGACGACCTCAAGTTTGTTGACCTCTCTGGCATACCATTCTATGGTGGCTTGACAACTTGTCAAGGCTGCAGTATCAAGTTTGTTGACCGATCTGCTGTATCCTCTGCGTCCGTCTACTATAATAATAACACTCGGGCTCCAGAACGGATCCACTCTGACTCCAGAACTGATCCTGCCATTCTCATCTACCATAGCGACATTATTGTCGATGGTTGCCACCATGCATCGCCTAGCTGCTGCCATGCTCGTGTTGCTCTGCTGCTGCTGTTTGTTCCTCGCCACGCAGCAGCAGCAGCAGCTCCAGCCAGCCGCCGGTGGTAACAGAGCGAGCCCGAGCTGCATACCACACGAGAGGGACGCCCTGCTGGCATTCAAGCACGGCGTCACCAGCGACCCTGGCGGCGTCCTCAGCTCGTGGCGGCGAGACGACGGTCGCCACGACGAGCAAGACTGCTGCCGGTGGAGAGGCGTCCGGTGCAGCAACCGAACTGGCCACGTCCACGAGCTTCGACTTGGAGGTGGAGGCACCTTCCCAGAAAATTTGGCCGGCCAGATAAGTCCTTCTTTGCTTGCTCTGGATCACCTAGAGCACCTTGACCTCAGCTGGAATGATCTAGCAGGGCCAACGGGTCGTCTTCCCGAGTTCTTGGGCTCTCTAAAGAATCTCAAGTATCTTAACCTCTCTGGCATACCATTCTATGGTGGCGTGCCTCCCCAGCTTGGCAACTTGTCAAGGCTGCAGTATCTAGATCTTTCCAATCCCAACTGGATGGGAGGCACGAACTCGACGGATCTCTCATGGTTAACACACATTCCTTCCATACAATATCTTAACTTGGACGGAGTGGACCTCAGCACAGTAGCGGATTGGCCTCGTGTCATGAATATGCTTCCTTCTTTGAGGGCCCTCCATCTTTCAGGCTGCTCTCTTGCAAGCGCAAACCAGTCGCTGCCACACCTGAACCTTACAAATCTCGAGGAGCTCCATGCCTCCGACAACTCCTTCCACCATCCAATGGTGACCAGCTGGTTCTGGAACATAACAAGCCTTAGATTCGTTTACCTCAGCTCCACTAGTATGTACGGTCAATTTCCGGATTCTCTTGGAGACATGACATCCCTGCAAGTCCTTGATCTTTCATTTAATAATTATGATGATGATTATCAAGATGATGACAAGAACGTGCGCAGCATGACCATGGATCTGAAGAACCTATGCAATTTGGAAGTCCTGAACCTTGAATACACTCTCCTATATGGTGACGTAGCTGAGTTGTTTAGGAATCTACCTCGATGTTCACCCAACAAATTGCAAGAATTGGACCTCGGTTCGAACCATTTAACCGGGATGTTACCAAGATGGATAGGGCAATTCATGAGCTTGGTTGTTCTGAATCTTCGTTGGAACAACCTAAACGGACATGTCCCATATGAGATTGGAAAGCTTAGTAATATTACCCATCTGGATCTAAGTACAAATAAACTGGATGGCACGATAACTGAGGAACACTTTGCTAGTGCAAGGAGCTTGCAATATATAGACTTGTCATATAATGCCCTCAAGATTGAGATCAGCTCGGACTGGCAACCACCATCTACATTAGAGTATGTATACTTTGCATCCTGCCAGATGGGCCCACTGTTTCCTGGGTGGCTTCAGTGGAATGTGAGCATCACCTATCTTGATATCTCGAGTGCAGGTATAGCTGATAGGATTCCACAATGGTTCTCCGATGCCTTTTCAAATGTTTGGTTCATGAACATCTCCAACAATCAACTCAACGGAACTTTGCCGGCTGATATGGGCTCCATGTCACTTCAGGAACTCTACCTCAGTTCAAACAAATTAACTGGTCAGATACCCACGCTGCCACCAAACATACATACCTTGGACTTGTCCAATAACTTCTTGTCAGGACCTCTGCCCTCTACTACTAGATCAGCCAATCTAAGACAACTTTCTCTGTTCTCCAACCGACTCACTGGTCATATTCCTGAATCTTTTTGTAAATATCAGCAATTATTTGTGTTGGACTTATCCAACAATTTTTTGGAGGGACAACCACCGTTGTGCCTCGGGGTAATGGAATCTATGGAATTTGTCGCCTTAAGTAACAATAGTTTGTCAGGAAAGTTCCCATCTTTTCTGCAAAACTTGACAAATGTGTTCTTCCTAGATTTGTCTTGGAACAAATTCACTGGAAGATTGCCAATGTGGATTGGAAGCTTAACATCATTAAGAGTTATACGATTAAGTCACAACAAGTTCTTTGGTAGCATTCCAATGAACATCACAAACCTTTCTTGCCTTCAGTACATGGATCTAAATAATAATAAAATATCAGGCTCTCTGCCGATCTACCTATCAAATCTTAAATTTATGACAAACACATCCATGATGGGTTGTTATCACAACCCTGAGACAATTCATTCTCATCTTAATGGTTTGTCTATGGTCTGGAAGGGGCAGGATTTGAGCTGTGGTTCCATTCAAAGAAGTTTGGACACAAGTATGATGAGCATTGATTTATCTTCAAACGACTTAACCGGTGAAATACCAAAAGAAATAGTTGTTCTTGATGCACTTGTGAATTTGAATCTATCAAGGAACCACTTGACTGGAGTTATTCCAAAGAAGATCGGGGAAATGCGATCACTGCAATCATTGGACCTCTCGAGGAACATGCTTTCAGGGGAAATACCAACCACTCTATCAAATCTGACGTTCTTAAGTTACTTGGAATTATCATACAACGATCTTACAGGAATAATTCCATCGGGAGTACAGCTTGATACCCTGTATGCAGAGTATCCATCTATGTACATTGGCAACATCGGTCTTTGTGGACATCCTCTTCAAAACAATTGCTCGAGCGAGCGTCATGCACCAAAGCAGGGTGGCCTGGGAAGAACTGAAGAAGGTTATGGGATACCATTCTTTTATCTTGGACTCGGGTGCGGCTTCGTGGTTGGTACATGGATTGCATTTGGTGTTTTGTTGTTCAAGAGAAACTGGAGAATTGCTTGCTTTCGACTCTCGGACAAGTTGTACGACAAAGTATATGTCCTTGTTGCTACATGGGCAACAGCAGACAAACACAAACTGATTAGCAAGCATGAAGCAAAGGCGGTGGTCGGCGCTTCAACTAAAATTAGCCAATGCATGCATGTATGAATAATGGAAGTGGGAGAGAAGTCTGTTCAGGAGTGCTTTGAATTTTGTTACTACCAGTATTACATATTGCCATGGTTTTCTTTATGAAATGAAGATTTGTGTGTCCGTGTTTCTCTTATATCATGTAATAAACTGAGAACCGACACTTGATCATTGGCCAACATTAGTGTTTGTTGTACAAGATAGATATTAGTTGTTAGTATATAGATAACATAAGTATGTTGTAAACTCTGGCTGATCTTGAGGATGTTGGTTTGTAGTCTGTACAAGACGTTCGCCTGGTCAGCTCAGGGCGCTATATAACACGTAGATGCGGCCTCTACAGAGGTTAACACGCTTCACCAAGTTTTACAGTAATAATTATTTCCTTATGATGATGAACATTAAGACATGGTCAATCAATTCCATATAGCACTTCAGGCGGCACTACATCATTGGTCCCTGTGGGCCATGGTAGTCGGATCCGGCAACTTGAATATGACCTATCGTTGCATGTTCCACGCTCATCGTCCACATTAGGGTTTGTTTGGCTGCACCCGTATCCACCTTAGTCCACGTGTGTTGAAGTGGATTGAGGTGAATACAATGTGCAGCCAAACAAGGCTTGGCGTGCCGTGGAATTTCAGTGTACCTAGGCGAGGGATGATATGAATCAAAATATCACGGTCTCATCTGCAACCAAAGTGTTACATATAAGCAACATTCACTTACCATACACATTGAACAAGAAAGCAGAGAACAAGGAGAGCAAATTTCTCGGAAATTGAAGAGCCCAAGACATGAGCACCGCTTAACTGGTGGAGCAGTAGTATACTACTCCACCTGCAGTACCGCTACCTACAAACTGGAGAGCGCTGCTAGTCAAATCTCAAATGGGGTGCAAAATGACTTGGGGATAGTACTCCAGGCACATTTGAGATGATGACTTTTTATGATCAGGCAAATAAAAAAATAAAGTTTTCATAAAAAAAAGTTTATATATAGTCACCAGCATGATCTTTGTTACGTACCATCGCAAGGGAATAATCATGTTCAATCTGCCCACACTCGACTCAACACAAAACTGCTAATATGGTCTTAATAACAAAACGAAAACTGAACCACGAAATGATGATGGTCCGGTTCTGGTTCTCTTCTCATAGACGAAAAGCAACACATAAGGCAGTCCAAGATGATAAGCAAATGATTTATTCACACCTCCAAACAAGTTATAAACTAAATCAGGCACCACCAAAAAACAAGAACGCAACTTCACCAAAAGGCTACAGATCGAACTGTGTAACCTTTATAGAGTAAATCTTAGCAATTCCAACTTTCCAACAACCAACGGCCACTTGCAGGTTGCTAGATGCAACAGCTGCTCCTGCATCTCTCCCTTCCATAGCTATCTTTTACATACCACATGCTGGGACTTGGACGGCGCTGGCATCGTCGCCGCCCTGGACGCGCCCCTGACCGGCCGTGGCCCGTGGGGCTATTTTTCCAGTGGAGCGAGACGACGACGTCTGCGAGCCGGCTTTCATGCATGGACGGCGCCAGCGACGATCGCGACGACAACGCCCAGGGCCTGTCGGCCCTGTCCGCCCACGGGGCAGTTTTTTCCAGCGGAGCCGGAGGGAGACAACGCCCGCGAGGCGGCTTTCACTGACGACAGCGCCGGGGATGCCAACGTGAGCCACCAGCGCTTGACGCGCGGCGTGAGGTCGTCGGTGGGCCCGAGAGTACGTGGCGACGGTCCTCTTGACGGCAGCGGTCACGTTGGTGTTGAGCGGAGGAGCAAGAGGGAGCCATGTGTGCAGTGTGCTGTGGGCGTAGCGCGCTTAGCTTCCTCGGCGCTGAAGGGGGGAGGCGACGTACCTATGCAGGAGAGAGGCATGACGGTGTGGTGCGGGCGACAGCTGCTGGCTTTGTGTAGTGAAGGCGTGAAGTAGGAGGACGTCTCACCTCAGACAAGCGTGGTCGTCACGATTACTATTGTGCTGAAATTTTATATTATTTTTGAACATTTAATGACTCCTTTCGAAAATACTCCATTCTAAAAGTTATTGTTTTTTCATGCCATGAGGTCTCGATAAGATCTACAAATTCTTATATTTGAGTTTTTTCATTTGAGGTTCTTATGATGCTCAAAAAATAATATAATATTCCAGTAGCATATTAATCGCGTATTATGGCTTGTCACCTTAGAAAAATAATATCATTCTTGTACGGTGTCGAATAAAGATACTTTGTATATGAAAATTGTTGTTGTCGATGAGATTTATAAATTCCTGGTTTTGAGTTTTTTTTCGTTTGAGATCGTTAAGATGGCCCAATTGATACAAACTTCAGAGAGCCAAACAGTACTGCCGCTGACATGTGGGTCCCATCTGTCAAATCCATGTAAGCGCTAAATTGACATGCCACATATGGTAGCGGGTCGAACCAAACCCAACACCGCCTAAGACTCAGGCCCGGCCCTGGGGCGGGGCGAGAGGGACAACCGTCCCCGGCCTAGGGAGCCGGATGGGCCCCTCCCTAGGTACGCAAACACTAGTAGTATTCGGCGTATGTGAGCCTAGTAACAAACATATGTACGCAGAGTCGTAGACGCGGACACGCCCAGCAGTGACTCCTCGGTCCTCGTGATGACGCGAGACGCTTTGAGCCTTCGACTGCGACTTGCGGAGTCGGTGACTGTTCATTCTCTTTCCTCTGCATACGACTGCGACTCTGTCGCTCTGCGAGTCGCCAGCGGGCGGCAGGTAGCCAGGCAGGCTGCAGGCAGGCATGGCCGCACGTGAATGAGTGAGACTTATATTAATCGCGTATTATGGCTTGTCACCTTAGAAAAATAATATCATTCTTGTACGGTGTCGAATAAAGATACTTTGTATATGAAAATTGCTGTTGTCCATGAGATTTATAAATTCCTGGTTTTGAGTTTTTTCGTTCGAGATCGTTAAGATGGTCCAAAAATTGATACAAACTTCAGGGAGCCGCATTTTGCCAAACATCAAAAGGTTGTGTAAGCGGCACTGAACCTAGCTCCTCCGTCAGCTATTGTAGCTGAATAAAGGACTGGGTAGACATGGGAAGGTGAAAGAGATCAAATAAATCCTGTGAGTCTTTCACTACGCCAGGTTTGCACATCACTGCCGGCATCATCACTACCGGATTTGTGAGAACCAGCAGTGATGTACCTTCACTGTCGGTTATGAGCTTGAAAATGAAAAAATGATTGGGGCTAGGCTAAAACCGGTAGTGAAGGACCACATCACTGCCGGTTTGTGGTTTGAACTGGCAGTGTTTTGGTGGGCACTCATCACTGCCGGTTTAAGCCAAGAGCCGACAGTGATTGGGCTCTATCACTGTCGGTTCTAGCCAAGAACCGACGGTGATAAGCCTAAAACACAAAAGGCTGCGGCCATCCTCTACTTCCCCCTCTCTTCCATCCCGAGAACAGAGGCGCGCGTTTGGACCCTTCCCTCCATTGTTGCGGCTGCTCTTCACTATGAAGCTAGTGCTTGGATTTTAAAGAATGGCTTGACTTTTTGCTTTAAGGTTAGTAACAAACATCCACTCCTTTGATTTTGTTGCTTAATTCTCATTCGTTTTGATGGCTACATTGCTTGATTCTCATTCTAGTTCTTTCTCCATTCTAGAGAGTACTTTTCCAATTGGACATTTGTGCAAGGCTCAAATTGTGGTGAATCCATCATCCAAACGGTTGGTGTCTATGAACACATTTAAATTCCTAGCTAATTATTCCATGGTGGTCAAGATCATCATTGTTAGTATGTGATGCTAGAATTAGTTCTTGGAAGTAGAGTAGAATAGATGTTCCTCATTATTGCGCAATAATTGTTTTTTACTACGATTTTCAATTCACAGGGCCGGGGCTACCAATTTCAATTTTCCAATAATTAGTGTACAATAATGTTTTCCAAAAATGGTACTTTCGAGCTACAATTGTTGTTCATGAAGCTCGATTTCTTATTAATTCTTTGTAATTATTGTCTCAATATTTTTTGTGCAGAGATGGGTCGAGAGTGGATGCATCTGTCCCGAATGGACAAGCGGTACATGCATGGCGTCAGCCAGTTTATCACCAATGCCAAAGCTCAAGCTGCGAATGGGAACCCTGTCTTCTGCCCATGCAAAGATTGAATGAATCATAGGAACTTTCGTCAAATTGAGTCTATATGATCGCACTTGATTACCAGGGGGTTCATGCCAAACTATACGATATGGACTATGCATGGTGAGGTTGGTGTGAATGTTCTGCAGGAAAACGATGATGATGTGGACATGCCTGACGTAGCCATCCACGATGCTGACGCGAAACCCGGTGTCAATACGGAACCTATGGCCACAGTTAATAATGTGTTTAGGAACACGCTAGCTGACGACACCGAGGATAACGATGGCATTTATCAGTAGCTACGTAATGTAGAGACCAGATGTCTTAGTGAAAGACAGCTGAGAAAGCTACAGAAAATGAGACAAGATGGCAAAACACCATTGTATAGGAATTGTCCAATGAGCAAACTGGAAGCCAACATCATGCTGTTAGAGTTCAAATCGACAAACGGATTGAGCGATAAAGGCTTCGATTAGTTGTTAGGTATAATAAGGAAAATGCTCCCAAAAAAATGAGTTGCCAGAAAAGACATACTTGGCCAAGCAAATGATCTGCCCCATCGGCCTCGAGGTTGAAAAAATCCACGCGTGTTCCAATGATTGCATATTGTACCGTGGAGAAAAATACAAAGACTTGGACAAGTGCCCCAAGTGTGAAGCTCTACGGTACAAGGAAGGACTGTCAAATGAGGGTACCAAGACCAGAGGAGGTCCCGTAAAGGTCGTTTGGTATTTCCCTATAGCTCCCCGGGTGCATAGGCTGTTTGCATGTGCAAAGTCAGCCAAGCTGTTGCGCTGTCATGGCGAAGAGCGTAAGAAAGATACAATGATGAGGCATCTCGCCAATGGGTATGACTGGAGGACTATCAATACTATGT